TAATCAATCTATACTAATATTATAAATGGGAAAGTGAGGATGTATGGATATTTGTTACTCTTTCACGCAAAAACTACTGAATGGATTTTAATGAAACTTTATAATAATATAGCTCATACATCAGAATAACACATAGGCTACTTTTTATCCCGGAAAATATACTGTTCCCGTGGGATATATTTGTTTTTGTTTTTCTAGAGGCTAACCCGAGCAAACCAAGGGTGAGCCGCTAGTATATAATAAAATTCAAACTCATTGTCAGTCGAATCTGTACATTAAATATTTTTCGGAAAACCTTCTTGAAATAGTCATTATTAACTATACAGAGACCGAATCTATAGTTTTTAGAATTTTTGTCTGTCTGTCTGTCTGGGAACGCATTACGAGAAACCCACTAGACAGATTTTGATGAAATTTGGTATAATGATAGCTGATTATCCGGGTTAACATATAGGAAACTTTTTACTGCGGGAAAATATCTCATCTCTGAGAAATCTATACTAAACGTTAAAACGTAACTAGAGACGAATCCGAGCGGAGCGAGGCGGAGTCGCTAGTGTACCTAGTAATAATTATGTTTAAAATATACTACAGGCGTCTTGTCACGTTTACTCATAAAAGCCTCAAAGGCTCTACGTGTCGTGATTTTCCGCAACCCTGTCAATTCAATGTTGATAATAAGTGTCGTTGTCGTAATATAGAATGCTGGTGACGAACATCAAAACATACATAAAATAAAAAATACGAAATACTTATTGATAATTATATTGCATTAATATATTTCATGTTTTTGTAATGTTACTTACAATAAGCCTTCTTAAATATTTCAATTCCAAATAGCTGAAAATAGGTCGACGCTTTAAATGAAAAAGTTAAATATATGTATGTATAACTTCTCTTTTAGAGAAAACTTCATAATACATTGTGTTATTATAAAATATATAGATACACACAATTTTATAGGAAGTAAACGAAAATATAACAAGTAAGATTTTACCGAGCAATGCATTTCCCGTAATTGAATTATTGTGTTCATGAAATTAAATCTCCATTACAGTAAGTAAGCATGGGGTTTTCACATAGTCACGACTATGGCATTTTAGTACAATTCTAATAAAATATTTATGTTTCATAGAGCAAGAATGTATGAAATTGAGTCTTGCATGTTTATTTGCAATATTTACCAATGACCCCTCCTGGATACATTTCAAACGTTTGATGAGATGTAATTGATAAAATACTTAATTCAGATATACTCGACCTTGGTAAGTTGTGATGCTGCTTTGTGTCGTTGACGCATCCGACAGCACTGTATATTGTTTAACCATTGTTCTTACAGCCTTGACAGTTGAACAAACTAAATCACTCAATTTGTGACAAAATTGTACATTTAATACTAATACTTAGATTTGCTTATTAACCCAGTTTTTATTCATATGTTAATAGAACTGCATAAAGCATACCTTCGTTCACTTGATTACTTACTTGTTTTAACATAACTGAAAACATATATATATATACATATATATATATATTGGTATAACGCTTTAATGGCGGTTTGCCATTTATGAAATAGACTAGCATTACCCGCGGCTCCGCCCGCGTTCAGTGTACCAAAAACCAAATTCTTAGGTTGTATATATTAGTATACTCTTACATTGAAGTATTTGTATTTTTTCTCAGAAATAAGATATTTTCCTGCGGTAAAAAGTATCCTATATGTTGACCCGGATAACCAGTTATCACCATACTAAATTTCATCAAAATCCCTCCAGTAGTTTTGCTATGATGCGGTAACAGACAGACAAAAATTCTAAAAACAATAGATTCGGCCACTGTATCGATATTAATATTGTTGAGTGTACAGATTCGGCTTAGTTACAATTTTATTATATGTAAGTATAGACTAATTATAAATCTTTATTTACGTAAACATAGCATTCTTCAAATGGCAGTATTTTTTAATTTTACTTATGTCGAGATAACCTTTGTTTAATTGTAATATGTGAAATTTCTCATAACCATTGTTTCTTTGTAGCTCGCCGTAGGTATTAGTAGGTAGGTATCTTACACCATTGTTAATTTAAGTGAAGTCGTAATTTATATTATGGTTATCTTCTTAAGTATTATATTACATATAAATATAACAATAATGTGTTTTAAATTTTAATCAATATTACGTATTATTAAACTCTATACTTACATATAATAAATTTCTAAGTGAGTCGAATCTGTACTAAACGTTAAAACATAACTAGGTACGGAGAGGCGCTACTCGATTTTAAGATTTTCGTTTTGAATATTTCTGTATTTCAAAATATAGTAAACAAATTTTCAAACAATTTTAGCTAAGTTTAAATTTTCAAATAGACAATATAATTCTGTTAATAATGCAATCTTATGATTGTTTAGCTAATTATCCATTCATAGAAAGTTTTAAATGTTAGACGATCATCTGTAAAATGAAAATATTTAAATCTATACAGATAAATAAAATTGAAGTGTCTGTTTGTAATGTCAATTCCGCTCAAAAAAAAAAAGTACCTAGGGACGAACCCGAGCGAAGCGAGAGCGAGTCGCTAGTTTTCATATAAGACAAATCTGAATATTCAATTTTATATATTTTACTCGCAGAATTTCCCTATTTGCATATTCTGTAGGATAGAATATAATAACCTCTATTAGGTTGCCCTAGTTCATTTAAAGTGGTATTAGGTGTTATCAATTCAGAGCACACCATACCGTAGTATCTAGGCTAGGCACGGTGGCTAAGTAATAGAGGCAATACGGTAAGCGAGTATCACGTCGGTATTATAGTAGATAAGACACGTTTTACAATTTTGTTTTGATTTAAACTTATTTTAATAATATTTAATTAATATTAATAGCACAATTATATTTATAACTAGCGCTCTTGTCCTGACTTACATTTCACTTCTTTAGGAAACGAATTGTGGTTATCCATGACAGTCCAAAATTTCTGCTTTGAAATCCAGCAGTTTGCTCTGGTCGTTGTACAATAAACCAATAAGGATACAAAATTTTATATACGTATTGATTTTCAATAAGGGATTCGAGTCTATTTCATAACATATTAAATCAAAAATTACATTTTGCTTTTTAGCTTTAAACAAGGAATCACTTTACTTCCACTACAATCGTAGAGTTAGATTACATGTAGACGAAGCCATGGTAAGGTAGGGGCTTATCAGTCAAAACCATAATATGTCTGTACATTGATATAATGCGACATGTTCTTTGTTTCTAACAACAATGCATTCAGTGTTTTACTTCGTTTCTATAAAACATTTAAAATATTATAAATATTTTTGGAGTCTCTCCAACTCTGCAAGTAACAATACGAATGATACAGCTTAGTTTGGAAGCTGATATTCTCGATTTCATACAAAGACAAATATGGCTTGACTGACTCGATCTGTAAAAAATCTTCCTATTATACATATATACATACACAATAGGAGAATATCAGTCGTCTGTGCTCGATGAATTAAATAATCTAAGTATATTTAAAAAATATCTTGATAAAAATCATGTTTAATTTAATGTATTCATTTTTATAGGTTACGTAGCACCTGACATATGGCCTCTGGCTATTATACTAAAAGAATAGGCCATAAGGCTGACGAAGCGCGAAGAGGCAGGTGCGGTTCAGTTTTTTATGTTCATACATTTACCATTAAAATCTCTAAAGTTTGTTATAATTTTTAGTTTAGCAAGATATTTAGCTAAAAATTTACTTACAAAGATCGTATCGTGTAACAAACAGTGTTATGAATAATGAAGTAATCTTCAAAGACCATTATACTGACGGTTATTAACTTTTTATCGAAAACTCGTTTGAAGAAACTAGTTTCAAACAAGAACATACTTTAAATGTTAAACCATTTTTATAATATACGTTTAATAAGATAAGGTCTTGTAAAAAAGTGTTTATAATTTGTAATTAGGTAATAGGTATAGTAAATAATGAATAATTGTGTGCAACACACTATACGACAATTGTTGGGTTTGCAACATTATAAGTTTATAAGTCAGAACGATATCATGACAGTCATCAAGACTTGCTGGTTGTTATATTTTACAAATATCTAAAGAAATTAATAACGATGATATCTGAATCGGTTTTACTCATATAGGAATGATACCTTTAACAAACTACTCAGAGTACTTTGATTATTTTAGAATACTTGAAGTATATACTTAAGAGCAAAATGTCCTAAACTTTTATGGATAAACCGGCCAAACCAGCTTACCCGCATTTTTAAAAGGGACTCCTGTAAACTACAAACGCTCCTTGAAACCCCTTATTGTAAGGACTTTCAAATAGGTTTCAGAGTGACGGAGTTAAATATTATGTTTACAAAGACATCATAATTTACAAGTTATTTGTATAATTATTCTACTGTTACATTAATATTTAAAATTTTATCAATTACCATTTACCAAGCATTGAATTTAACAGATTTTGTAGTCACCGGACGCTTTCCCAAAGCTACACATATTTAGTTATTATAATCAAATTATTGTCTTTCTAACGGCAAGCATAAAGCTTTGTCTCCCACCAAGACACTAATAATAGGGGTAGGTGCATATTTATGTGGCGGCCCTAACTGTGGACTACAAAGCACAATTGTTACATACAATATAAATACATTTTTAGTTTTTAATTTATGAGCGTGCTTTAGTATTTGTATTAAGTACCCGCTAAGCATTAATTTTTACATAAATATAAATTTTAACGAAATTTATTAATAAACTTATCTTTACAGTAAATCATTTTAGAAGATTTTTGCAAATACTTAATAAGAATATTATTTAAACTTAAATTTATTTTAATAATTCTTGGTAAAAATAATTAACATATTATACCTACTTACTTATTCAAAGAAACACATTTACAAAAAAAAACGTGAGAAATATTACAAATACATTTTTGATTATAATAACGTGTAATAAAACTTCAAAATTAAATAACTTACTATCTTTTCCAAAAATGATTTCTAATTTATTGGGCACTTCAAAACGTATTTTCATATCAAAGGTTGGCGTTCACGTGTATAGACTCACTAACACAAATCGAAGTCATAGAGCAAACTTTGAATATTCCGAATTTGAATTTAAAAATCGAATTTCAATTCGCGCTTTGACCGTGGTTAATGGCGCGCATCGGATATACTCCGATGACAACGGAGCGCGGACTGAGTGCCGGCAGCGTCCTTCCGCATGGGATGCCTCCCGCCGCGCCGGTCTACATCTACAACGAACAATGCTGAATGCGGCCCAAGTGATGTAATCTGTATGTGAGTCGTGATGAAATGGGCAAACAGATAAGATTTATGATAATGTCAACATTGAATCGTCCGTCACATCGTATACTACACATTATTTGGTGAATATGCGTTATTGTTAATTTTATCTGCTACTATGTTATATATATTACTAGCATTGCCCGCAGCTCCACCCGCGTTCAGATGACCAAAAACCAAATTCTTAGGTTTTACATATTGTATACTCTTACATTGCAGTTTTTGTATTTTTTCTTAGAAATGAGACATTTGCCCGTGGTAATAAGTAGGTATCCTATATGTTGACTCGGATAACCAGCTATCACCATACCAAATTTCATGAAAATCCCTTCAGAGGTTTTTCTGTGATGCGGTAACAGACAGACAGACAAAAATTCTAAAAACTATACATTCGGCTTCTGTATCGATAATGATGTTTATTTCAATAAGATTTTCCAAAAAGATATTTAATGTACAGATTCGGCTTAGTTACAATTTTATTGTATAAATATAAATGAATAGCAGGAAAAGCTTTAACTTGAGAATAATAACTTAAGTTTCGAAGCTAACTACTATATGTTTAAAAGTAAAGAAAACTGTAACGAACCCAATTTTCAGATAATGCCTGTTCAAATGGTTTTATGATGAATATTTAATATACCTACTATTATTATCCTTTCAATGTTTGTATTTCGTTTACATATTTTTATTCTTCAGTATTTTTTCAGGCTTCACTTGAGTGATTTCAAAAACCCAAGGAAAAACGAATAATATGTATCATAGAATATGAGATTAACGGGAACAGCTGAAAAACTTTCACTGGCAGATTATAGAGCCAGACAAGAGTGACAGCGATGCGATTATACTTTTCGTTTATTTTTTATTTAAAGCTTTATAATTTTATTCTATGATAATAACTAAACTTATATTTAATACTTTTTCTACTCCTGCTCTATATTTCTATTTGAGCCAGTAGAATGCGGAGCCCGAACTGGATTTTTAGATCTTCTTCCAGCGGCGTCCCTGTTTTTGTACAATTTTGTTCCCAACCACCGCATCATAAATGCCGCTTTATAATAGACTGCATGTGCTTATGTAGAACTGCAGTCACTATAGATGTATGTATGCAGATGTGTTCTCAACCAAATGGAATGAGAAACAAAAATTCTGAAGGCTGTCTGTTGGCCTCCGTTATATCCTTCCAACATAAAATAATCAAAAATCATTGAAACAACTTCATACAGACAAGTACATATCAATTTCGCACAACTCTTGACTGTATATATTAAGGTGGATACTAAATTAAGAAAAAAATATTAATTATGGATTCAAAAAGGAAATAATATGTAATACTTAGAACTACCTACTCATATAAAACATGTCATGGAGCTATTGAAGCATAAATCTATGAAAGCTTTCATTAATATGTCAATTTATCGTGAATGTTTATGAATTATTAGGTACCACACAGCCTATAACGCTAAATCTAGCAGCTCTTAATTTAGGTAAATACTGAGAACAACTCGTGTTCATCTTATTATTCTTACTATGTAATACTTGAGATTGTATCCCTAAGGGTTTAAAATGAGCTTGTTAAAATATATTTAAAAATAGATTCGGGGTAAATACTGCTAATTACTATATTTAAATCTCTAAACAATTCACACTAAAGTTTAAAATTATTTAAGGTAAATTTAAATGTAAAATATTTTTACTGACTTATTTTGCTTTTTAGTAGCCGTATGATGGAACTACAAGTATTTATAGTATCCGATTCCGTGGTGCAGACACATTCACCTACATAACTCTCATCTAGGAAGTACCTCGGTGACTGAGTTTGTTTAATATTTATATACTTATATGATAGATAAAACTTAAGGATTGTTATTTAGCAATTAGTACAGGATCCTCATTTATTTACTAGCGGCTCACCCTCGCTTCGCTCAGGATCTCCTCTAGAAAAACAAAAACAAATCTATCCTACAGGAATCGTACATTTTTCCGGGATAAAAAAGCCTATGTGCTTTTCCAGGCGATAATCTATCTCTGTGCCAAATTTCATCCAGATCAGCCGTTTTAGCGTGATTAAATAACAAACATCCAAACAAAATCTATGAACTTTTTTCACTTTACACTTTCAACTAGATTTTTAGTGCTACTTACACTTAAATTCTTAATTTGACGTTTGCTAAACATTTAACATATTAAAATAAAGTGTTTGCAGCAACCGGCTCTAAGTTTCTGTAAATGACAGAAAATAAAGATAGATATAGGTACGCTGTGTTGTAAAAGAAGGGAGGGGAGTTGAGCGTTGGGAGGGGAGATGAGCGTTCTAGGTGCACACTCGTATCATATTCGCACATTAAGAATTTGATTTACGAGTTCTGTCGCACCGCATTCATGTTTACTTCCATTAAGTTCAAAGCAACGAAAAGAATAAGATAAAAATTCAAATTCCAAATGAAACTTATGTTTCATTCTAAAAATACTCAGCGTCCTTTATTGCACCTATTATTTTAATTAACAAAAAGAGGGGTGTTTTAAGTTTGACGTCGATGTCTGTCTGTCTGGCATCGTAGCTCTCAAACGGATGGACCGATTTCGGTGCGGTTTTTTTCATGTAAAAGCCAGTGATTCGTTGCTATGTTTGGTTAATATTGGTCCAGCGGTGTAAGAGCTCTTTTCCAAAATGATGTAAGGCATTTTGGCGTATGATTACTCGATTAAGTGCTTCACGTGTGCCAGTGTAATCGTTAAATAACTATTAATATGTACTAATTATAATATTTATTTTTTATTTATAATTAAATATTGTCTAGATGTATGCACCTACATATACTCAATACTAGAACTAAAGTAAAAAAATGCAAAAAAATCATAAAAAACAATCTGCTGACTTTTAAGAGTTACTAATGCTATTTTGAATCATTTGTATTCATCTTTTCATAACTACACTATTGTTTTCATCGAAGAACTTTAGCAGCCTATAAATTAACATTTGAAATATCTATTGTTCAAATTCTTATTAAGTACGCACTTTAGAATAGCCGGTAAGCAAACCTTCGGGAACGATGGTAACCGTTATCTAACCAAATAAGTCAGGAGTCGGCAAATATGGAGAGCTAGCAAACTAAATTGGCTTAGTAATTTTGGTTTGTTTTTTTCTGAAGAAATAAACATAATAAAAATCAAATAGCCGAACTGAGTGCTTCCTTTATGAAGTCGGCCAAAAATTCAATTTGAAAATATTTAACCCATACTTATTGAGCTTAATATACATAGTTATTACCATTATATCAATCAATTATGAAAAAAAATCTTCAGTTTATTCCCGGTAATGTCAAAACTGTACCGATTTAACGGGACGCTACTGGATATGGTAGAAGATTCATATTTCAATGGGTCTTTTTAGAGTTCCGTAGCTCAACGGCATAAACTGCTCTATATGTATTTTCATTCTAAAATTATGAAAAATAAAAAGTCGCGGCACGCCATACATATATGTAATTACCAAAAATTAAGACATTGAGTAAAAATTCGAATACGTACACGTGAGCGTGTGGAGTATCTTTGGATAAGTCATTAGTAATTTTAGATAGATGTTTCTAAGCTACTTTTTAATTCAAGCCGGTAGTTGTCGAGCTATATGTTTCTAAATTGTGCAGTTTTCGAGATATTGTATATTTCTGGTCTCATGCGTTCGGTTGTAACTCGTTCTCAACTCACAGTAAAAAAAAAACAGCACACCTTTGTGAAATTAACTGAAAATTAAGTACATAATATAAAGCAATATTAATAAACTACGTGTATTTATCAGAAACTAATTAAATTATATACTACTGTTAAAAGTATTAGTTTTACTTGTAACTATGTATTTAAATCTTGGAAGTTTAAGAAGCACCTTCTATCATTGAGCTGATGAATCTAATGGAGCCGGAGAGGTAGTGGAAATTTTTAATGCCTATTGTCATGTTTTACATGACCTTCGATTCGTTTTGACGAGTTAAGCCTTGCGCTATAAATGGTCAAAAGCGAATAAAACTATATGAATACTATGGAATGCTATATTTTTTTCACCTAAAGTCTATTTAGAATTTATTATCGTATTAATTCATAAAAGCTTAGATATATTCAAATAAATTATTGAAAAAACTTTTATCATGCTCAGCTTAATTAAAATTGCAACAAACATTGTGGTATAGAGTAAAAGTCGGACCCGGAGGAAAGACATGACAATGCGGACGGCAAACAAAAGCCGGCGGACTATGCCTCGCATAGCAATCAGCTGCTTGCCTCATTGCTAGCCTACGCCTTGGATTGTAGCTCCACAATAAATGTTTTGGCATTCAAGGTCTTTAATTGAATTCATATATATTTGATATAGGCTCTATTGAAAAGCAAACACCTATAGTAATACTAGCAGAACCCGCGGCTTTGCTCGCGCTAAAACTACAGCAAAACTCGAAAAAAAGTAGGTTTCATACACACTTTCATCCCCTATTTTACCCTCTTATGGGATGAATTTCGAAAAACGCTATAATACGTATTTATTTAATTGTATTGAAGAACATTAATAACAAGTTTCAGATAATTATGATCATAAATTATTTTAGGGTTGGATTATAATGTGTTTTCCCGTGGGAATGAGATTATCTCCCCCGAAAAGAAGTAGCCTATGTCACTCTCCAGCCCTCCCACTATCTCCACACAAAAAATCACGTCAATCTGTCGCTCCGTTTCGACGTGAAA